ATCCACAAACACCGGCACTTCTCGCGGTGCTTTGGCCTCACCGTATTCTCTTGCCCGGGACACCTTTTTTTGGCGCCGGATAATGTAAGAAATGAAGGCATATACCGCATCAGATCCCTTCGAACAGGACGGAGCCTTCGCTCTGCGTCGTGAAAAAAACAGTAGCGGGAGTGGAACTAGTCGTTGACTCTAGATTGAAAGTAGCGTTGCGAAAGCAGCTTTCGCCTTCGTGGTCGTGTCGCTCTTAAAGAACTGGTAGTTCCGAATTGAGTGGCTATGGACAAGATGTGAGGTATTGAGAGACACTTTCTATAGATTCACTAATGAATTTCCTCTCACCATATTTCTGCAGCCTGCTTTCGAGAGCCCAAGTCGATGCCCGTTTCGCGCTGAAATCAGCATTTTAATGGGACCAAACCTAGCTGCAGGCTTCACAGTATTGAGTCTTTGTGGGAATTCAAAGGGCACTCTTCTTCGTACACCGACCGGTTGATGTACTCAACAAGGTAGTCTTCCTCCATGACCATGGGGTTCATCGCATGCGAGATGCATTTGAAGGTCGCTCGGCGTTGGGCAGCGATAGTTCTCACCTCGCAATAGTGCCGTACTGCGCCCTTTTCCCCGCTCGACCTCAGAACCCGCTATAAACCAATAGAGCGTGACGGAAACATTCCTTATGATCCGGAGCGTCCGGGCGAACTGTCAATCCACGCGCAGGAGCAATGCAGAAGGGTCTGGGCCCTTGAATAGTTTAATGTCTGTCAGATGCAGGATGGTTGGCGCTCAGAGACTAAGATGCCTGTTATTTCCTTTTCCTATTCTAAGAGATGATGTTGGTGGATAATTGCACAAGGCCTGCAAGAGAGGATAAAATAGCCGAGATGGAGGAAGAAAGTCAACATTATTACTAGTAAGACATTTGTCGTATTGTCCAGTGGCTTTTCTGTTTTTCTATTCTTGTTCATATGACCAAAATGCTTCATGCCTAGGTAGCATTGGTACAGTGAAGGAGGTGTGCTTTCGGTCTGTCCGAGAGAGCTCAGCCAGCCCATGAACTTATTCCTACCTTACTCTTAGTCCACTGTAAGTAAGCAGTAATTTTAGTATATCTTATTGTTCCATTGATCCCTTTAAAAACTCTTATTTCCTGTCGATCTTAGTTTACTTTTCACCACCATTATTTCGTTGAGCTGATCGTCCCTGTCTCCATCTCGTACAAAGTAGGTATCTATTCACTGCTACCCTCCTCTAACCAGACCTAACCCTCATATCATCTGGTAGAAAAATGACCTATAATCTCCCTGTGGTGATCGTCAATGAGACCAATGAGGCTCTCACGGTAGTTGAGAAGACCTGCTGGTACTACGCGAACGGCGGCACTTGGACCGAAGAAAAATGCGACAAGTTTGTGCTCGAGATGGGTGGGAGCGGCACATCAGGCATGCTTCGTATCAAGGCCTCATCAGGCCATAAGTTCACTGTCATTGTGGGCTACCACAATTACGAGTTCTGGTGCGATGCGCAAGTGGATCTGCATGACGATGATACGGCAGTGAAGCTGCATCCCGAGTACTACAACGGAGGGACCCTATCGCAGGAGGCACGAGCTATCACCAAACGCACGACTTCAGCCGGGAGATCAGTGCAAGTCCACTTGCAGAATTTGCCATGTGGTCGACCACCTGTTATTGTCACCTATTGTTGAAGAAGCTGGAACTTCGAGGAGTGTTCGATTCCAAGGAGGATCGGGATCAGCTTCTGTTGAGATTGAGCGAAAGTGTCGCTTTATTTGTGCTGAATTTGTGGCCGTGGCTAGTTGGCTCTCTTCTTGTTCGTTTTCTTTCCTGGGATAATGTAGAATTGAGCGGACCTAGGTAGTTAAGGTATCAATGGCAGTCAGATTCGGAGTGATAACAGATAACCTTGCTTGAATAGTCCACATAATCTCGAATGCCCCTTTTCTCCAGCGGATTCTACAAAAGAGAAGTCGGCCGCAGCTGGGCTCCATCGGCCAGACCAAACGCCTCAATGCTGTTAACTCTTCTTTACGTGGTAGGAAGTGGCTGAGCTGAATGATGGCATTTTCAGCGCTCACCGGCATGCCACAAATGTGGTATGCCTAGAAGGCTTACAGAGTCCGCTAGGTAGCGCATTAGTGAGTTTAAACATTTCATTAGCATATCACCCCCGAAGTGATTTAATATAACCGAAGAATTTTCTCCTAGGCCCCACGTGATAGATAGGCTCTATGCCTTGTAGTTTTGTTGTGTTCGAGTGTGTTATTGTTTGAGAGCAGATCGAGACCAGAAGGCCGTGTACGTCTAGAAATAGTGCACGGTGGAAGTGACGGCCATCGAAAAGTGATCGCAAAATAAAAAGTACTGTAGAGCGAACTGCTCCTTCAGGTATTGACTGAGAGCGTAGGCTAACTGCCTAATAGATACCTTTCTGATCAGTCTCTGAGTATCTATGGATGTTAATTTATGTAGTGAGCGATCAGTGAGCATCCAATGGTAATCAGTGAGTGCTCACTGAGTGCTCATCGGACCTAACTTGTTCACCACATGATGGCTCTGAGCAGCTCATTGAGTCTGAGCCCGGACCGAAATATGCTGAGCCTGACTCTAAGCACCCCCATAAAAGCAGAAACTAAGGTAAAGAAACCCAGAGGAGATATGGTACGTATAGCTACTTACATATGTAGACACCCGTGCAAGTCTGTAGCGACGCATTAGCGCCAACGAAAAAGAATGCGTCACGTGATGTTCATGCTTGTGCACACGCTTGTGCACGGGATCTGCGCAAACCACACCGAGCCTCGGTCGCCCAGAATGCGGAGAACCCATTCCATCCCCTCATAGATAATTGATCCTAATACATAAACACTCATATAGTTCAATTCCTCTTCCCAAATACGTTTTCTGATAATATATCTCTTTGTGGATGCTTCCATCATGGCGTACAACTCAAAAAATCCCATCCCATTCTCGGAGCCGCCTTATATTCGTGGCCTCCCTTCTCCCTACATTACGCCTGCCCACCGCCGCTTCCAACAAGCATGCCGTAAATTTGCAACGGAACACTTGCTTCAGCATGCGTTAGAGTGGGAGCGTGAAGGAACAGTCCCCGAGCATGTTTTCCACACATTTTGCAAGCATAATATGTTGTTGCCCAACATGCCGGCCCCATTACCTGTGGATTGGCTGAAGCGCCTGGGAATCAATGATATTCTGGGAGTCAAGGTTGAAGACTGGGACTACATCTACACCGGAATCTACTGTGATGAGGTATACCATGAAAATTATCTGACTGTCTATAATTTCAATGTAATTGACTGATGTCTTGCAAATAGATGGCCCGTTCGGGTCTCAGTGGGCCAAGTGGCTCCCTGAACGCCGGGTTTGCTTTTGGAATTGCACCAATCTACAAGTTTGGTAGTACGGAGTTGCAAGAGCGGTTCTTGCCCGAACTGCTCACGGGTAAGAAGCGAGGCTGTATTGCCATTACGGAGCCTGAGGCCGGTAGTGATGTTGCGAATATCACCACAACTGCTGTCAAGAGTGCCGATGGTCAGCACTACATATTGAACGGATCCAAGAAATGGTAAGAGACAGCTCTGCAGTAATAATATAGCCGCCAGCTGACCCACCAGGATCACGAATGGTATCTGGTCGGACTATGCTACCATGGCCGTGCGGACCGGTGGAAGAGGAGCCGCGGGTCTTTCCGTTTTGGTTGTGCCTCTAAAGGGCCACCCCGGTGTCTCCATGCGCCGACTCAAAGTCTCAGGTCAGATCACAGGCGGGACCACATACATTGAGCTCGACGACGTCAAGGTTCCTGTGTCAAACATCATTGGCAAGGAAGGGGACGGCATGCGTATCATCATGACCAACTTCAACCATGAGCGACTTGTTATTGCCGTTGGAGTCACTCGCCAGGCCCGTGTGGCCCTTTCTGCCGCTTTTTCGTACTGTCTCAAGCGCGAAGCTTTCGGGAAGACGCTTATGGACCAACCCGTGGTTCGCCACCGTCTAGCCAAGGCAGGCGCTGAACTTGAATCGATGTGGGCGTGGGTTGAGCAGATCTTGTACCAATTAGTTCACCTCAGCAAAGAGGAAGGTGATCGTCAACTTGGCGGCTTGACGGCATTGGCTAAAGCAAAGTCTGCTATGGTTTTGAATGAATGTGCCCAAACAGCCGTGTTATTGTTTGGAGGCAGTGGATTTACCAAAACTGGTCAGGGTGAATTGGTCGAAGGTATGCTCGCCGAAGTATCAGTATGTGTTTGAAACAAGCTGACCACGCCTCTAGCCATTCTTCGCGATGTTCCTGGCGCCCGTATCCCGGGTGGCTCAGAAGACGTGCTGCTCGATCTGTCTGTGCGTCAATTGGTCAAGCTATACCAGGCTGAAGAGAAGAAGCTGTCACAGAACGCCAAAATTTGATTGGCTTATGCACAAGACCTTTGGTCGTTGAGGAGTATCACTTGCCCGGGTGTAATATACTCGAACTTCCATTTATGTCAATAGACAGTACAATATTGCGTTCTATCGAGGTTTCTTTCAACGCAACTGAGCATAATTAGCCCAGACTTAGAAATGCTAAACATTCTTAGGGCTTGTAGACACTCCAGTAGTCCCACTCTACCCCTCTCCGAAGCCGCACGAACTACCGCATCTAGTAGCGCGTCCAAAGCAGATTCGGAGTTAGCACTTGTCTTGACCTGCAGACGGATCTGAAAACAAGAGGCGTCATATGATCCGCATGGGTCTAAGATCAACTGTAATCATACAGACTTTTACGCCATCGTGGCCTTTGCATTTGAAAGCTAGATTGCCTGATATTTTGAGCAACTATACCCTAATATGATAGCAACCGGCAATTGATGCTTTCCTTCGCGGCCAAATGAGAGAGTATCTCCAATGAAGTCGTCTAAATTGGACTTTCATCCCCGCGCAAAATCCCTCGGGAGTAATACCACGTTGTTCGACTTCGGTTCAAGGCTGGCGAGGAACCCTCGGGCGAAGTTTTCTCATAAACTTCGTGGGCTTCTTGATAGTCTCATATTTTTTGGCTTTCCTTCTGGGCAGTGTTCTCGTGGGCTTCGTCGGTTTCTTGTGTTTCTTGGCTTTTCTCACGGGCCCACTACTTTCCACCTGATATGACCTCTTTGGTGGAGCTTTCCTTACAGCTTTCCTTGGAGATTTCCTTGGAGCCATTCTCCTCTCTTTTATCAAATCTCTCAGCACTGGATACATCTTTGCCGCGGGTAAGGCCAGTGGACAGCTTCCATCGATGATTTGATCTGTGCAAGCTCCGTGCTCCAAGAGTAGCTTTATCAAGACAGTATTGATCAGATACTGCCTTGAGCTTATCCTTTGCTTCCGCCGCTTCATTCCCAAAAGCATCGAAATAATCGTGTCTCCATTTTTACCACGGCAACGAGTACTAGCCCCTGGTTTCAAGACAAGTTCAAAGACGCCTGCATTCTCAAATGTGATACCTAGTGGTGTGTCTCCACGCTGGTTTTTGAGATTAACATCGGCACCAGATATCAAAAGCAATTCCACAAACTCCTTTTGGGCTTCCGTATCTCTCAAGAATGGGTTACAGGCGAGGGCAGCGTGAAGGGGGGTGTTCCCTTTTGAGTTTTGTGCGTTTATATCAGCACCATATCTTAAAAGCAATTCTACAATCTCCTTTTGGGCTTTCGTATCTTTTGAGCATGAGGCACAGGCGAGGACATTGTGAAGGGGAGTGTTCCCTTGTGGGTTTTGTGCGCTTAAATCAGCACCATATCTTAAAAGCAATTCCACAATCACCTTTTGGGCTTTCGTATCTCTTGAGTATACGGGATGGGCGAAGACATCGTGAAGGGGAGTGTTCCCTTCTGGGTTTTGTGCGCTTGAATCAGCACCGTACCTCAAAAGCAATCCCACAATCTCCTTTTGAGCTTTTGTATCTCTTGAGAATGGGTCAGAGGCGAGGGCATTATGAAGGGGAGTATTCCCTTGTGGGTTTTGTGCGTTTGAATCAGCACCAAATCTCAAAAGCAATTCCACAAAGTCCTTTTGGACCTTTTTATCTCCTGAGAATGCATCATATGAGAGAGAAACGTGAAGGGGAGTGTCTCCTCGTGAGTTCTGTGCGTTTAAATCAGCGCCATAATCGAGAAACATACCGAGCAGTTTCTCCGTCGATTTCCATGGCCTCTGAGTAATCCTGTGTAGGCAAGTAGACATGGTATCATCGTATTGGAAATGTGGATCTGCCCCGTGAGCCAGCAGCAATCCGATCACACCGACAAGCTCATTCTCTCCTTTGCATTGTGGCAAATCATTACATGTCTCCGTGCTGAAGGTGTGTGGATTGCGATCCCCGAAGTCATAGCTACCTGCCAGAGCACATCCCAGAGGGCTAGTACCGTGGGTTGACACGAGGTTTACATGGGCCCCATGCTGGAGGAGTAAGCTTGTCGTGTTGTAGTCTCCTAAACTTGCAGCATGTTCCAACGCGGATATATCTGTTTCGACATTGACTTGGGCTCCGTTACGCAGAAGGAGCTCCACAATATTCGTATGACCAGAATCGACGGCAAGGAGTAAAGGTGTGTTGATCCGTGTGTACCGCAGGTACAGTGCCATGTTCACGTCTAGGTTGTTGCGCGATATTATGTGCTGGATCCCCAATTCAAATCCTCTTTCTAAGAGCCATCGCAGTGCATGCTCTATAGTGTCTGTGTCTTGCTTGTAAAGGGCATGAATCACGGTATCATGGAGCATACGATTGCATTGTAGGAGTGGCAACATATCTTCACATGGCAGATACGATGCAACAAGACAGGTTACTTCGAAGGGCAAGGAGTCAAGAGACATCTTGAAATGCGATGGGAACTCTGTCCACACACGACACGAGGGATAATCTACAGTACTTAAGTAAGTCGAGGAGTAGGATGTAATGGTCATCAATTCAGTTCGCTTGTTTAGCTCTAAAGTTTCTCGAGATGATGAGCCTACTATGACTCGATGAAGTACTCGGATGCACTTTACATTATTAACCGTTTATTCGTATCTGTTCAACGCGTTTAGCGCCCATTCGCTTTTGAACCGTAATTTTCTGCGCGTTTAGTAGGCGTTGTGAAGCATAGCTTCGCTATATTTGATTATGTTCTGCAAGCATTGACGTGACTATCAATCATATATACAAGTATAGCCTTTACGTCAACCTTGAGATGGACCTTGTATCTCCATGACATTCTAACATCCTAAAAAGTATTGGGCTTAGACAGTTTCATATTCATGGATGCAATTCAAACAAATCGTTTAATCAACATTCAATCAGAAATGTTTCTCCGTCGTGTCCAAGACTTGGAAGGTAGGATTATATATGTATATAGCTGGTTATATCTATATGGCTTTCTCCTTACGACATTGGAGTTTTAAAGGATGGAATGGCCAATTATCTAGTGCATACTACTATCTGTGTTTCTTCTGATAGACTGGTTATGTACAGCTTATTGTGCATTCCAAGGTTATTGTGCATGTGTTAGCCAAAGTCGCGCTTACCCAATGTAGTTTAGTTCTACGGGATGACGGCACTGCGCCTACCTAAATGCATTCCTCTGTTCCTGCTGCGCTTTATCTTATGCTGTACAAACACAACGGGCATCTACTCTGATTTCAACTTCAGATATACAAACATGGTGAATGTCGCATTGATCGGTGGTACGGGTATGGTGGTAAGTGCCCATCCTGCAAGCAAAACTCCTCAATCTTCTCGTCCGGAGACTTCCCAAACATGTGCAGGCTAGAACTTGAGCTAAATCCTATAACCGATAGGGCTCCAATATCCTCACCAGCCTTATTTCCAATCCTACAGTAACCCGCGTGGACACCATCTCCCGCCGCACCCCGCCAGCCACTAGTGGCACACCCCCACCCAAACTCACCAACTTTGTCTCTAGCGATACCGCCACCTGGGCAAGCCAACTCTCCTCCCTCGCCCCGACCCCCAGCATCTTCTTTTCCGCCTTTGCAACCACGAGAGCAGCCGCAGGCGGGTTCGATAACCAATACAAAATCGAGCATGGGCTAAACGTCGAGCTGGCCAAGGCCGCGCACGAAGCTGGCACTAAAGTCTACGTGCTGATCTCCTCTGCCGGCGCCAACAAGGACTCAAACCTTGCCTACCCCCGTATGAAGGGCGAAATCGAGGAGGATATCAAGAAGATTGGCTTTGAGCACATGGTCATCCTGCGCCCTGGGCTGATTGCTGGTACTCGCGAGGAAAGCCGGCCGCTCGAGGCTGGGGCTCGGTTCGTTGCGAACTGGGCTGGCAAGCTTCACTCCGGTTTGAAAGATGGATGGGCTCAGGAGGCAGAGGTTATTGGCAAAGCTGCTGTCAATGCTGGTCTCAATGCGCTGGAAGGCGATGTTCCTGAGGGCAATGAGAAAGTTTGGACTTTGTTTGGCAGTGATATTATCAAATACGGCAGGGAAAGCTCATCGTGAACACCTCGGTACGTTTGAATGAGCTATGTCTGTTTGTAAATACATACGTCTATAAATTTTGGGTTTGGGTTTTACGACGTTACGCGGCTATGGACAAATTACTTGATTGCATTGATCGAATCTCAATATGACATGTATTTGGAAATTCCAAGGACCCTGCATAACATGATGATTTATCGCTCACGACAGTGTGAAAGCGTTCAATCCCGGTACGAAACATGAGTCCCATCCTCCTTCACATGAATACTGCGGCCCTTCTTTGGCGTCCCACGAGAGCTGGAAGCGTCGCGATGCCGATTCCGATCAGGCCCGTCCTCTGTCGGGAGCCTGTAAGCGCTGGCACCCTTATTGGCTGGACTCATATTTAGAGGACTCTCCTTCTTGCCTTCTTGCCTGCTTTCTTCCTCAGTTGCCGCGAGCTCGCTCTCGGGTGCTGTATTTGCCGGGTCGAATGCAGAGGGGTGCTTGGCGACTTCGCCGTCCGTACCAGATTTGGAAGTCTCTGAGCGCTCTGGGTTCAAGGTCTCACGGTCAAGCGAGGTCTGGCCCTTTTCGATCTGGGACAGTGGAGTTGTGCTGAAGGGCGTTCTTGTTGCTGTTTGGGTGGCGAGGGATTGGGTAGTGGTTTTTGAGATCTGGTCCCGAGTGACTCGTGGCGCTTGCTGGCCGGCTAACATGATAGCTTTCCACATCCTGTGAGATGTGGATATGATATTTTGAGATGATTTCAGCCGCGGATTGAACTGGTTGGTAAAGATGTCTCGTTGTGGTTGGGCTCGGGTATCGAGAATGTAAGTGCAGATTGAATTGGAGAAAAGCAATTTGTCAGACAGAAGAATTGTTCGTCGTTACTATCAGGGGAAGTCCATTAAGAGGAGTCTCTCATTCCTCTCTGTGTTCCAAGTTCTCTAGACCATAGGATCATATTGACGTCACTTGGCCAGAAACAGTCAGCCTAACCTAATCTGGTAATGAGCTTGCCCTAAGACTGGCTTCATAGAAATGGAATGAAAGGGCCCTTGGAAGTTCTAGCTACTAATTCGCGTTGGTCGGGATCTGATATATCATGTTACTCGAATCTACATCGGGATATGTAGCTAAAGACAAGGGATTGATGTGGAAGCAGGTGTCGGCAGTTTGCGAGCAAATTGAATCAAAATCGGCAAAGACACGGAAGTGTCTCTACGGAGAGAAGCCTACGGAGACGTCGAGTGCATTTTTTTAATGTGAGAATGATATTGAAGAGTGGTTGCAGAAGCTAAACGAAAGCGAGTGGGGAGAAACCACTCTAGCGATGGAGTCCAATATGTGACTTGCACTTGAGGTAGCGGTCACCCGTACCACACGCACTGTACCCGCCGTGGGAACTCCATCCTCGGCCACGAACGTACTTCTGGTCAACCGTCACACCATGTAGATCAAGGTCATATTCTGACGGCTAGCGGGCCGCCAGCCGGTCAGAACACGCCCCTAAATGATGCATGGGAAGGTGACGTTGCTCGCTCACGGCGTCCCAGTAATAGGCAGAGGCGCTGCTGTAGAGAGGTTCGAGCGCGCGCGGCGAGCGAACTAAGCTCGAGAGCAGAGTCGCGAGGATATTCGAACAAAAGCCATTGCTGATTCATCGGTTCCGTATGCATTCGCCCACTTGCTTCACTGCAGCATATCCTCAATTGTAGCATCGTAGCATCGTAGCAACAGATCCTTTCGTTACTTGTGAGAACGAGCCGGCAAGAGTGAGAATGATCATCACCTGTGTTTCTTTCCTTCAGACATAGGGCCGGAAGACGACGAGAATGAATGGGGGCAAACTTTGGACCTTCTTGGAGCTAGACAATTCGCTTGGGCATCCAAGGAACGTTCCAAGGCTGCCTGGCCAGTGAAGAGACTCCGAGAATGTGAGGAAAGCAAAAGCGAAACGTGTGTCCGAACTCTAAATAGATGAAATTGACATATGAACTGTGAGTAAATATGTGCTTTCCTATATTAATATCTCACTAATGGCCTCCAACTTTTGGGACAGGCTAGCTCAAATATAATCTTAGGGTAACACACTTACAAACTCGAATGGACAACACCCGAGGTGCCCCTGCCCGATTAGTAATGGATTACGAGGTAGAAGGGCTTCTTGGGCAGTACATGCAACGAAGATAGTGGTAAATGATGCCAGAAGAAAAATGACATAAAATAGACCCCCTAGAACGTGGTTTGGTGCTGTGTTCACCATGTGTGCCGCAGGTGGAGCATCTGGAAATGGGAGGAATGTCAATGACAACTGCGAACACGCGAATGCGAGGCCCCACTCAGAAAGAGTACGATCTACCAATGAGAGGTAGTCGTAGGCCTTGCCCAACGCAAGTGCTGATGAGATGCACATGCCTCTTTCGTGCTGGACAGGTGGGGAACGGTCTCGTTAGTTGCATACAAGTGACATCCCGGCTGACGGTTGCCATTGGACGATTGGGCCGGCTGCAGGTGAGGATAAGTCGACCGGTCGACCAATGCCCGTACGCTTGAGAAAATGTAGGCAGTGGGCTTTTGCTGTCCAGCACCAAAGGTAGCATTAACCTCAACGATTTGTTGCCGGTCAAAGGCAGGCGTGTGTACGGTGCGGGAGCCTCCGTTGACTTTCGGATCACGGGATCAGAAGAGCCCGGCGCTGTGGGAGTCTGTATGCGGGTCCTGGAATTCAATTTTAACGTTGAGGCACGGGCTTCTCCGGTTGATAGCACTCAAAATTGGCCCGCGGTAGCTCCAACCTGGTCAAAGACGCTCTAGTATTTCACCCGGCAACTTCGCTTGTTGGGCAGAAACGACAATCATGCTTTTCCCAGACCCTCGGCCTGATCCTTGCAAGGAGAAACGTTGGTAGACTAAGGATGGGCGAAGGGATTTCGGCGGTAAGACGGGACGAGAGGCAAAAGAGCAGGGGGGCTTCGGAAGTTGATTCGAGAGCCTTTTGGGGCTGGATGCAACCAGCTCGCCGCAGCAAAGGATAGATCCACTGAGTGTGACGGCAATCTGAGGCTGTGAGCCATGGTCAGGGATGCCAGTTGCCAACTCAACATCTTTGTCATGGATAATCTTCCTGGTTCAATTCTGGGCGTGATTGAGCGGCAGTCCCCGACGATCGCTTGTCGTATTGGTGCATTGCTCAGAACAATCGGCCAAAAGGGCAAGCACAGAAGTCTGCAGGATTTCCTTTCCGCATTGGCAATCAGTCATATTTCGTCATTGTCAATAACGTGAGTGAATCTGGGCCCTTGGTGGAGATTGCATAGCATCTGTACACAGCGATCCACGGCCTGCCACCCAGCCGTCGCTACCAGGAATTGATGCAAAAAGCCAGAAACAACGTGCCACGT